ATGAAAAGTAGTTTTATACCAAGAGGTGAGCTGTCAAAGCCAACCCCAAGCTCTTTAGCAAGAAAGTGGTGAGAAGGATACAGACATATTCCAGATCCTGGTGGGAACCACCCCTTTGGAGTGAGCACTCCCATGAGCCCCCACCAGAATCTGAGCATGTTCTCACAAGCTCGTGGGGGTGGAATGGAAGCTCTCAGTTGTGCCAAAGAAAGAGCAAGAAATCTTCAAGAAAGAGACAAGGGCAGCAAGAGAGGCAGGGCCAGGTGGTAACCTCTTCTGTTGGTTACAAAGTGATTCTGACGTATGTGTCAAGATATGTGACAAGCTAAGATAGGAAGCAAAATGGCAGAACAAAACTGGGCCTTCTCTAGGAAATCAATGTGATCTTAGCAGAGGGATCACCAAGATTTATAAGACTTGTAGAGAATGAATTCCGCTAAGACCGTTCTGAGTGCTATGTCGACAGAATGGCGACTCTGGCAGGAAACACAAAAATCTTCCCCAAACCTGTAGATACATGGGTCATGCCTGGCTATGAGCTCTAGGAAAAATTAGGGTTCCAGGTTAACAAGGTCCCAGCTCTCCTTCTCCCTTTTCTGTCCCTGTCTTCCCATTTTCTCCACACCCTGCTTCCTCACCCTACTGCACAGACAGAGGTCAACAGCTGGGACAGTGCCTCTCAAGTGACATTCTGTGGTCACCAGGTCAACATCCGTTGATAGAGTTCATCAGAAAGCTGCGTGCTTTGGTGATCTCCTTTTGGGATAACTTTATACTTTCCTGAACCTATAAGACTTTATCCATATAGTTTTCTTAGGGCTGCCCCAAGGGTCCTATATGGAGCTTGATATAGAGCAAGCACTTACTGTGTGCTATTGAACTGTGTCATAGGAATTCGTCTCAGCCAGAAACCATGGCCTTTAGATGAATTCCCCATCTCCCTACTGAAGATGTGTTTATCTGTGTAACTCCCACTGGAATTCTGAATGTTGGAGAACACATGGTCTGTGGCAGAGAGAGCTTATCAATGTGACATTGATCTCTACGAGTGTGGTTTGTGCTCATGTCTGTGTATGTCTCTGTGTGCATGTGTGCACACACTTGAGTGTATCATTATCAGCATCTATATCTATTTGTATCTCCTTCTCCACCTCCACCCACTCACATCCTCACAGCCATTGCAACCCTCTGGCTCAGCTCCTGCTCCAGGTAGGTACACAAACCACAAGGTGATGGTCTCTAAAAGTAGATGGGAAGAGGAGCATCTTTGGCTGTGACTTCAGTGCCGCCATGTAATTGAGGACAAAATCCAAAACTCTTCCATGTGACTGACAAAGCTCCCAAACCCTCAGCACCATTTACTTTTCATTTCAATTCACACAACACCTTCCCTTCTCCAGAATGAATATCAATTTTCTTAACCACCATATATTAAGTAGCTCCAAGTCTGCTGTATTCCCTCCAGTGCACTAATTAATCTGTTTTTCATTTTTCTTGAATTTATCTTTCAAGTTTTTGAAAAATTGTATAGAAGTTTCTTTACTATAAGATTTACTGAAATAAAATTTGCATAGTGTAGAATTCACTGATTAGTGTCCCGCTATATGCCTCATCAAACATACAGGTCTATAATCATTTTCACAATTAATATTTAAACTAACATTCCAGTCAACTCAACAAAGCCTCTCATTTAAAAAAAAAAAAAAACATTATTCAACCGATAGCTGGATAAACCGTGGTAAATCCATGCATCACAACTAACACCATAGGTCTGAAATGCATTATACTGAATGAAGGAAGTTAGATTTAGGAAACTGCATGTCAAATAATTCTATTGATATGAAAGTCTAGAAATGAGAGAACTATGAAGATATTAAATAGCCTGTCTGTCATCGGAGTCTGCGGTTGGGCAGGGACTGGTTACAAAGATACATAAGAAAATTCCCTACTATTTTTCTTCATAGCTTTTATTGTTATCTACTGTAACCTTGGTAATTTATTTGTTTACTTATCAATTTTTACCTTACTTAAAAGCACATTTCAAGAGGACGGGGACCGTACCTGTCTTTTTCCTGTATATATTTCCAAAAAGTAGCCTGATGCCAGTTACCTGAAGGGTGTTCAGTCATCCCTTATTGGGTAAATTGATGGTAGTGTAAACGTTCTCCCACATCAGCCTTTGATCTCAGCCCTCATCTTTAATCCATGCTCATGTCCTGTGAACATGTCGCCTCTGGTTGTTCCTTCCCTCTAATTTCATAAACACACCATTTCCTGTCATCTTTTTACCTGGCGACTATAATAGCTTCAAGAGTAGATTTCTTGCCTTCAGACTTGTCTTTAAATCTATCTTTAACTGCTACTACAGACAACTGAATCACATCACATCCCTGTCTTAAAGAAAAAGGCGGTGATTCCCCCTTCCCTATCAGCCAGCCTTACTATGGATCTTCCCTCTTTCAAGTGTCCAGTTCAGATCCCCATCCTGATACAGAACCCAGAACTCAAACGCTGTTCATTTGTCCTAAGGGTTACATAAAACCAAGTATGTGTCTCAGCCCTAGAGAGTCCCTGATGACTAACTATCCCCACCCACTGGTGTCTCTAGTCATAGCTTACATGAAGATGTCAGGTCATCTAATTTAAGAAGAATATTAAAGCACTTAGAGCTATCAGCAGAAGTCACATGACTTTAAAGCAGGGCAATTCTCCAACAGTTACAGTCATAGCCTCAGCTCTAAAGATTCTCATGCACTGGATTTTGAAATCCTACATGTTTCAGACAGATATAGTCGCCATTTCTGATCATCCTTGATATTTTGAAAAGAATAAAGATGTTGGTATTTACTTTTATTGACTTACACCAATTGCCTGAAACTGAGTAAATTCCTTAACAGGGTCTTTGTATAATACTAACAAGAGTGGGATACATCAAAATCCACTTTAATATATGCTACCAAACCCCTGAAATATGAAATCCATACTACCATTGTCTTTTAGTGTCCAAAGGGGACTAGTTCCTGTACTCCTTGTTCATTGACACCAAAACTTGAGGTTGTCCATGTCCCTTATATAGGAAGGCATGGTACTTGTAAATAACCTACAGGGCTTCCCATGCAGTTTAAATCATCTCTGGATTACTACCAATACCTGATAACAATGTATGTGCTATGTAAATACTTGTTATATCATATCATTTAGAATATGTTTAGAATAGAGGTACTTTATCATAGCCATAAATACATTTGGTTCAACCTATAGATACAAAGCCTTGGAAAAAGATCTCATCAAAATTATACAATTCAGGACATTGAAACCATCATAAAACCCTAATATCCAAGCATATGTAAGAAACTAATGAAGAACCAGATTAACCCCATGTTAGGCTTAAAAGTCATCTTATACTAAAGACAAACTAGGTTCATTCCTGTTTATGAAAAACCTCTGTTTTTCAAGGAGTGCCACTCCCCACCTGTAACCTTAACTACAAATGGTTCTGTACTGCCTGTTCTTTGTTTGTACTGTTCAGTGTCTTTGTTGCCATTGTTGACCACCTATGACTAACTTGTTATGACCACCTGTTACTTATATTACCTGTTACTTATGACTACTTTGTCGTGACCACCTACGACTACCTTGTCATGACCACCTATGACTACCTTGTCATGACCACCTATGACTACCTTGTCATGACCACCTGCTGTGATTGCCTTGCTTTGAACCCCTGTTATGTTCTGCTCCTGTTACCCCACCTATTTTCCCCCATTTGGAAACCCTTTACCCCTGAGCTCTATGAAATCCTTGTCTTCCTCGTATCCAGTGCTGACCTCCTGAACCCCATCTTGAGTGGAGGCAGCCCATGTACACAAATTAAAAGGCTTGCTTTAATTAATTGCTGGTTTTAATTAATTTAGCCATCTTTGGGATTAACACTATATGGGTATATTGCATAAGTAAGTATAACTTAACATAACATATGAAATGAAAACATAACAGAACAAATGAAAACTTTCTAACATTCAAATTGATAAAATAGCAGAACACAAATCAAAGCACAACCACCACCTGCTTTATCGATCATTATAAAATTATTGCTTTTTCTTAGATAATAAATTGGTTATATGACTCATTTCCCTTTCAAGTCATGGAAATACTCCTCAAAACGGACTTTATCGATAGTCCCCAGTGGCATAAAAGTCTGCAGTGGAAGAACACAGTAGATGGGAACACAACTACACATCTCATTGGCCTCGTCAAAAAATTATATTCTTGTAAAAAACTGGTCCCCCATAAATTTAGTTTGGAAAACCATCCCCGGCCCTGCCTCTCTTTCTCTCTTTCTCTTTACCTCTCTGTCCCTACTCTAATCACACACATTTGGTACAATTTAGGTACAGTTTCCACTGTGGCCCACCTAACATGCTTCATTTTACCAGGCACTTGAGACCCAAATTTGGCCAAAGTCATCAGACAAAATGTAAAGATTATATATATATATATATATATATATATATATATATATATATATATATATATATATGTAAAGGAAGAAATAGGGTCTTACTTTGGTTTACTTCCTTTTGGATTTTGAAACAGGGTCTCACTATGTAGCCCTGGGTGGTCTAGAACTCACTATATAGAACAGATTGGCCTCAAACTCAAAGAGATCCACCTGCCTGTGCCTCAAGCTTTTCCTTTTGAGATCATCAACTGTAAGAATAATGCATACCTCTGGCTACAATTTTCTAACCTTTCTGAAAATGAAAGCAACAATTAAATAAAGCCAGTAATATCAGTGGGATAAAACCCTAGTAATGTCCGTGGATCCATGGATCCAGCAAAGCCTTGAGCCAACCTCCCCCTGGATTTTCAGACCACAAACCAACGAAGGGCCTCTTTCATCACCAGGTTGGAAGGCACTAAAGGGTGAAAGCTTATGATTTTTGCCTGTATACTCTATAGCTTCTTTGGAAACCATGAATTTCTGTGGGCTCATTTACCTGGAAATGGTAGAAAATTTAATCTATCCGTTTTATGTGATGCAGAAAAATTCTTCATGTGAGTCACAAACCTGGAGCAGGGCAAGGGTGTTTTTTCACCACGAGGGCTAGACTGTGAGGCAAAAGAGAAAAAAAAACCAAACAATGTTAGGTCTGCGACTCCACAGACAGGGCCCCCCACCTACAGCCCTTACCTCACTAAATGAGTGACCTTGGAATAGCACGTTTGTCTCTTTATTCTTGAAAAGTTATAATCCTGAAAACAACTACAATCAACTCCCACTGCCCACAGCACACACACACACACATTGTGTGTTTCATTGAAGGAATTAGTGAACATTTCCTGGGCATGCAGGAATTGTTTTTTTACTCAGTTTCACCATGTGCCACAAACGGTTCATGAAACTGACATTTTAGTGAAGGGTGACATACATTGAACAATAGATATCAAATGGAGATTTTTTTTTTATGTTGACACCAAGATAAAAACTAGGTAAGGTTAAAAGTAATGGGGAAACGTTAAGAGCAATACTCTTAATTTTTAAATATTTTTAATTATCTACATGTTTGGAGGGGTGTGTGTACATCAGTGCAGTGCCTTCAGAGGGCATCAAATCCACCGGAGTTGGAGTTACTGACAGTTGTGAGCCACTCGGTGTGGGTGCTGGGAACCGAACTCCTGTCCTTTGTAACAACGGTAAGTGCTTTTAACTGTTGATCCATCTCCCCATCCCCTCCCCCACTCTAATTTATATACAGAAATAAGATACGGCTTCTCAGATGGGAGTACTTTAGAATTAGACTCACGGGCAAAGGTGGTAGGTAGTATGTGGTGACCTAGAAGAGGGTCACTACAAACACAGGGAGTGTCTAGCAGACCAGAAGGTAGAGCTGTGGAAAGGAGGAAGCAGTCAGGAGACAGGAGAGGGGATGCTCAAGTCAGCTGCTGTGACCTTGAAGTACTCAACAAAATTTGAGAGGGGAAATAGCAACAGATATTGAATAAATAACAATGAATTAAGTAACCAAAAGGACGATTTCACTTGATTATAGTGAGAAGCAGTTTATTAAATGTTTTGTCAGTACCAATTGTCCATCAATGTTTATATGCCATTTTTATTGTTTGGATATGACTGAACATTATATCATTGCTTAGATATTGAATACATGGTACGTATAACACTTTCAATATTGAAGATAGTATCTATTTCAAAGTCGAACTCATAACAGTGGGAGCAAGGGCTGTCCCTAACGCTTTGGCTGGCTTTTGGGAATCTATTCCTCATACTGGTTGTCTTGCCCAGCCTCAATACAAGAGATGGTGCTTAGTCTTACTGCAACTTGATATGCCATGCTTTGCTGATACCCATGGGAGGCCTGCCCCTTTCTGAACAGAAACTGAGGAGGAGTGGATGGCGGCGCTGTGGGGCCATGGGGGTGGAGAGGGGAGATGGGGGAGAAAATAAGAGGAGAGGAGGGAGGGGAAACTATGGTCAGGATGTGAAATAAATAAATAAATTTAATTAATAAAAAAGAAAGGAAAAAATATAAATCTTTTCTTCCCCTTAAGTCATTTTTGACCAGAGTGTTCTGTACCAGCAACAGAAATGAAGCTAGAACAATGTCCAGTTAGATCCCTCCATTCCTCTTTGCAGGAACTCGAACGAGCTGTCGTCTCTGCTCCTCGGTTTCTATTTTTTCCTAGGGCTTCCTTCCCAGCAGTCGTTATCCTTACTTTAAAATGGAATGCTAAGTAACCCTCCAAGGCTGCAGAAGTAGCTGTTGTAAGGCAGTCCCAAATCTATTCTTCCCAAACCCACAGTCTTAACCTCAAATCATATAGCCTCCTTTCCTTAGTGCGGACACATCCAGCCACACAAACGCACAAAGCCGGGCAGGTGACCCTGACCTGTTTCTCTCTTGCTCTCCTGATCTGCTCAACTTTGAATCTCACCTCTCAAGATCCTCAGACCCACTCACTCCCCCACAGTCCTTTGGTACCCATGAGCTTAGCTACGTATAGCCTTGTTTACCTTTCTAGAATTCTCCTTTTCATATTCTTTTTTCTGAAAGAAAAACCCAAATAAGGTACACTCTTCACTGTGTTTTAAACAGCTGTCCATAACTGCCGGGCGGTGGTGGCGCACGCCTTTAATCCCAGCACTCGGGAGGCAGAGCCAGGCGGATCTCTGTGAGTTCGAGGCCAGCCTGGTCTCCAAAGCGAGTTCCAGGAAAGGCGCAAAGCTACACAGAGAAACCCTGTCTCGAAAAAAACCAAAAATAAAAAATAAAAAAATAAAAATAAAAATAAAAATCATCTGGGGAATATGTATTTTACAATACAAATTCTGATGCAAAATGCCTGTGGCAGAGTCCAGGAGTATACAGTGGTTAAAAAAGAAATCTCCCCAAGCAATTGATGCAGATAACAAATAACTTCTATTAGAACACCACACCGGGCTGGTTCAATAGCACCACCCAGAAGCCTATTACACCAGGAGGTTCTCTCACTCCACCTACATCTACTCAATCAGGATCTGCATCATCACAGTATCCAGCTGATTAAAGACCTAGACAACATTTTGATGTAAAGGATTTAATGCTTTCTGTAGGCAAGGAAGCTGGTCATGAACCAGGCTCCCTCCTCTTCCTCTACCTGCAGACCAGAGGACTCACTCCTCTGCAATCTAAATATGACAAACTATGGAAGTCGAGGCATCAAAAGCGAATGCAGTCCATGCCCCTCACCTTATTCACCTGGTGCCTTAGCATAGTTCCTGCTACATGAGACATGAGGCTTTATTGGTCCATGTTGGATTGAACTGAATAGAACTGATGTTTCAGAACATACATTGAAGTGTGTGTTTCATGGAGTTGCGATTGAACTGGAAAGATGGAGAAGAGGCTGCCAGTGTCGGGAGACAAATGAACCTGACTCCTTAAAGAAGAGACAACTCACTGTCGGGAGGGGATGGCGCTCTATGAAGACCTGTTGCAATCACTTGATTCAGTACCTGAACTGGGCACGTGCTCTATATTTTAAAGCCCCCACCTTTTTTTTTTCTTTTTTTTTTTTTTTAGGGAAGCGCAAACTTTCACCACAAAGATACAAGAACAGTCAATATTGATCTTCTTGACAAACGGCGCACCTCATGCCACAGGCCGCCCGGGCGTCTGCTCAGCACAGCAGCCTTCCCCTTTGTCAGGAAATAATGCCAAGTGGCCTCGTGCACTATCAGCTGCAGATCACAAATATTGAAAAGAAATAAATTTCTCTGAATGAAAAGCACCTTCCTTTGTTTTCCAACCCTCTCTCCTCCCAAGTCATGTTGATTTTGGGGCTGCGCACACTCCCAGCACCTGTACTTTTCAATTGTTTGTTTGCCAAGCCTATTGTGGCTTTCTTTCTTGGCTTGAGGATCCATTCTAAGTACAGTAGCCAATGAAATCCTGTTTTCTTTCTCCCTTGGCATTATGTAAGGGACACAGCAGCTTTGGGCCACCTACAGCAACTGTAATTAGAGGACACAGGAGGACAGAATAAGAAATCCGAGCTCCTGTACCTGGACTTCTCCCTTAGGATCATGGGAAATGCATCACCCCTGCAGACCAAAGGCAAAAACAGGGATTTCTGCAACAGCCTTATTGTTTGGTGGAGGTTTTAACATCCTTAAAGGTGATGCTTTTTAACTTGTATTGCGGAAATCTGCAATCATTCTTTAACTGAGAATTGAGACCTAAGCAGTAACAACATAAGAAATAATCTTGCAATGTGTGTGCTACAATCTGAATAACCACAGAGGTCGAGTACTTACTATGGGAGTGGGGAGCGGAGGGAATCTCTAAAGCAAAGGGCAATAGGCTACATAATGCTTTGGGGAGATAAAAGGGAAACTAGGAGGAGTAAATGGGGAGAAGCGGGGAGAGGGGTAAAGGAGGGGACAGGAGCCAACACAACTAGCATGGACGCCTACTACTGCAGAAGTTTCCGAAATATGTATACATATGTAAAGGGAATTTCAATGAAGTCACCATGTAATGGGGGAGAGAATGCTCCAATCAGACATCCCATGCCACCAAGTAAAACCACCAATGCCAGAAATGGGTTACATCACGTTGAGTTGTTGGCCAAAGGGGTCCCCAGCATCACAAACTATTGCTCTGGTTATCGGTTGTCCTCCACGCCCTGATGGTAAAGTCTTCCTGCTGAGGAAAACACTTAGGTCATGAGCACAGAGGCACAGAGTTCATGCTGACTAGACGCTTCACCCCTGTGCTATCTAGTGTTCACTGTGCTGGAAGGCACTCTGGACACTGCCAGAGGAGAACAGGAGTCATTCCTATCACCCGGCGACCTACAACATTGACCCACCTACGAGGCTACTCCGACCACACAGAAGGGCTTCTGTCATTTTTCTTTCCCCTTTTAGTTTACTTTCATGAATTTTCGAGTCCAGATTACAGTTGTGGATCCCCATGGCTTGTGTAAAGCAAATACTTATTTTTGAGCACATCACTGCATACTCCATCCTATTGGTTGTGGAAACTTTAGTTGAGGACCAATGGCAAAAGGATATCCTGACAACGCTCCTTGAGTGGAGGTTTCATGGTGAGAGATGGCAGAGGCCAGGGCTGTGGCAGTTCTCCGACTACAGCAAGGCTTCCTGTCACTCTTTGGCTGAGACGGGCTGAGCTGGGTGGCCTGTATTCCTGTGCTATTCTTCCTGGGACCCGGGGTGCTGTGTTTGTAAGATGCGGAGTCAAAAAGCAAACTGTGTTCCCGGAAGTTAATTCTACTCTAGGTAAAACTGATTGTTTCTGATAAGGGTTAGTACACATGAAGCTGCTACTCACTGACCTACACTCACTCTGCCTTGGGAAGAAATCCCTAGGTAATCTACTTCTCCCCCAAATTAAAGGGATAATACGTACTACCAACCCTTAGGCCTACAATCAAGAGGTATGTTTTATTGTTGTCAATACCTGGAGTAAGCCCTAGAGTAAAAAGCTGAAACTGTACTCCTTAGGTACATGCTGATTGCAGCTGCTTTCGGCTTCTTACAACATTCAAAAGTTACAGGACATTTCAGAGGAAACATGGAAATACCATGG